GAGGATGCTTTCCCTCTGCCCCTCCCCCACCCCCCTCCTCTATCTCTCAAATAAATAAATCTTAAAAAAAAAAAATCTTTCCTGATAAAACACCCTGGTGTCCCATTTCCTTTCTGGATAATCAGGCATAGGAATGGAGAGTCTCTGAAATGCCCTCAGGCAGTATGTTTTGAGGACATGGGTTTTTTGATGGTGTCCTGACCTAATGCTCTGCTGGATTTCCAGGAGTCTGTTTTTCATTTTCAGAAAACTTTTTTTGTTGTTGTTGTTCTTTTTCAAATTTGCTTGCTGGCTTTTTTTCCAAATGTTTTGTACTTTCCTTATTACTTCATTCTTGTGAAAAATATTTCTTTAATAGATTTAAGCAGAGCTACTTTATAATCTTTCTGAGAATATTCCTTTTTCTGGGGTTCTAATTCTTCTATTAGTTGTATATCTGATTTTCCCACAGTGTGGATTGTTTCCATGTGGATTATTGTGAATCATGAATTTATTTTCACTGGGGAATTGTTTTTCCCCTCGAGGGATTCCACACAGCACAGCTTGTGGGAGTGTCCTCACAGAGAAGTTTGACTTTGCCTTCTGCCAGGAAGGTTCTCTAGCCGTATCGCTGGCAGGGGACAATATTTTACACTCATTTCTTAACTATGTGTATATTATAAATGCAGACTCTAAATATACATGTGGTGAAGGCTTAGTGTTTTGGTTTCTTCCAAGAGACATTCTTTCTCTCACAAGCCCCTTGTCTTTTGCCTGGCTTGCCCGGCAGAGCCTGTCTCTTCTTCCCTGAGGGTGTAGTAACCACTGAAGGCTCCTAGTTTCCTGCAGGACTCTCAGGGCCAACATCCTGCCTTGTACGACCCTGCTGCCTGGGTGTGGACCCATCTCCAAGCCTGAATGATGAGAAGGAAACATCCATGAAAATGGAAGGACATTCAAGACTGGGGAAATAAGCATGAAGGCTCTGCACGCGGCTCTCAAGGGAGACGGTGGTGGCAGATGCAGCCGTCAAAGGCTTCCTTCCGGCTCCAAGAGCAAAGTACAGAGGGGCTATATGGGTAGCCTCTTAACAAGTCAGTATCGGTGGGTGGATCTTGGAGCAATCTACTAATTTTTTATCCTTGGGCAAGTTTCCCTTTCTCATTTTTGTAGTAAGAAATGTCACATAAAAAGATGTTGGGTTTGCAAGGGGACAGTGCTGCCCCATGAACCATGCCTCCTGGTATTTTTGTCCTGTGTTCTCCCCTCTCTTGGAATCTGGTAGGATCTATGATTTGCTTTCACTAGTGGAATGTGGTGGAAATTTTATTGTGCCAGTCCCACTCTGATGTGAACCTCAGGTATCAAGTGTAGGATGGTATGTGCACGTGTGTGTGTGTGACAGAGGACAGAGAGAGATTGAGGGAGACTGAGAGACAGAGAAAGAGAGATGGAGAGACTCAAAAAGAACATTTTCCTGGTGCAAAAAAGCAGATGATTTTTTTTTTTTTTAAAGCAGTTATTTTTTTTTTTAAACTATCATTTACCTTTTTCTTTATCACTCCTCCCAGCACCTTAGGAACCTCTATTTTAGGGTTGGGAGCCAGAGGGAAAGGGGGTGGTTTCCCTCCCAAGCCCATGGAAAGGCGGAAGCTGCTGCTGACCTCAGAGTCAGTCCAGGCATCAGACGGGGCTAGGGCCACAGGTGCAAACGGAAAGCAGACCATTCCCATCCATTCTGCTGTAAGTAACCCAAATGAGAAAACACATGGAGATGGAAACGGCCAGGGAAAACGTGTGGCTCAGGCACCCGGCTCCGGGTCTGCAGGGCAGAGAGAGGGCAGGGAGGACGGAATGACTATGTTCGTCTCAACTCTGAGCAGCGCGCTCGCAGCCTTACGTGGCAATTATTTCTGCCGGGGTGGGTGCTCCCAGCGGCCAGACTCCAGGATAGTAACGGAGCTACAGTAACTCTTTTTCTGGGCCCAAAACCCTTAAGCTATATCCCCGTTAGTGGATAGGGGCAAAGAGGTGGAGCTTCTCAGTAGCAGGATGTTTGGAAAAAGACAAGGAAGTTGAAGGCAGGAGTCAACGTCTCCCAAAGTTCTTTCTTAAAATACATTGTATTTGGCTTCAAGGCTGCTGACTCACACCCTCCCCCGTCCGGGCATTCCATCCTGGAGCTACTCTAGTCCCCAGAGTGCCTGGGGAGACCAACTCATTTCCCACCTCCAGTATCCACCGAAACATCTGCTTTAGCTTATTAGAGAGTCAAAACAAGCAACTGTCAACCCATCATCATTTCCACTTGAGGACACATTCCTCTCGGCTGATGTGTGCCCCTCCCCAGGCCCCCCACTGCCTGCGTGTCTGTGAGACTGGGAGCTGATTCCGATGATAAATGGAAGCGCCTCTCACATCCTCGTTTATCTAACCTCCTCATGCGAATAGCAAGACTTCTCTTTGGGGAGTCGTGGAATGACTTCTGACTCACTGGATAAGCAGTGGGCCCCGGACACAGGGAGCAGAAACCCGGCTCTCCAAGCCCATTGCACCCCCTTCTCTTCCCCTGCAGGGAACCCAGCAGGGTGGAAAGCAGTCTGCCTGAGTGGCCAGCAGACCCACGCTCCCCCTGCACTCCTGGTTCCTTAGCCTCCCGGGGCCCCAGGGTCCTCTTCCACAAAATGGGTACAGTAATACCTATGTTGCCAGCCAGGCAGGGATCTTGCGTGGTCCGAATGGAATCCTGGGGTAGGAAGGCATCTTAAAGAGTCTCTGAGGTTTACATTTCCTCCTGTAATAGCACCACCAACAACCTACACTTGAACACTTTCTGTGACAGGGAACTCATTCCCACAGAGAGTCAGGTACGCTGTGAGATAGCTCTGATTTGTTTTCAGCTGAAAACTGCCTCTGCCATTCTACCAACTGGTTCTTCTCCATGTGGGTATACAGAAACAAGGTGAGCCCCTTTCTGGAAGAACAGCTTTCAGATATCTGGAGGTGTACTGCATCCCGATATGGACGGAGCAGTCCCTGAGTCCTCTCCCCACCAGGCTAAGCCTTTCCCCTCACTGTCATGATTACTGCTCTCCAAAGGCATGTCAGGGCATTTATGACCCTCACAGTATCCTTTCTGGACCCGAATGTGGTGTTCAGAATGGTCTGAAAGGGGGAGAGGGAACTGGGACATTTACCTCTCTTGTTCTAGATGCTATGCCTCTATTAATGCAGTTGACCCTCCATTAGCTGCCTTGGTGGTTATTTCTCGGTGGCAGCACCTCCTCTACGATCTCAGCTGTGAACACCTAACTTCCTGAGGACCGCCTCTCTCTGTCTAGCTCATTTTACCTTTTATCCAGCTCAGTCATTCTTGAGCCTCATTGATTGTGCATGTCACTGTCCCCTATCCTCCCCACAATGTCCTCATGTCCCTTCTCACTCAGCACAGACCTCAGGACACATCACCATCATCAGCCCCTTGAATATACTTGCAATTCTTTTTTTCTCTCTTGCCTATCAAAATCCCAACCCTGATTAAATCCTACTCTCTGCCTCTTCCTGTCCTGTATCCAGACAGTTGAAACTGGCTAGAGAAAAACATGGAAATTGGTTAAATTCATGCCCAGTGATCTGTGGGGGACCCATGGGGCCATCCAGCAATCATCCCCTAGCACCCTAGTTTGGACACTGCAGGTCATACCTTCTCCAGCCTTAAACCTCCACCACTTCCGCCCCTATCCTCACTCTTAGTGGATGACCTTGCCCTCAATCAGTGGGCCTTCCACACACCCCCACCTCAAGTACCCACCTGCCTGCACCTGTGCCCAGCGCTCCCCCCAACCCCCAGTCCCTGCGGCCAGGCCTTTGTGCTCCTATCTAAGGCTAAGCCCTCCAGGTGTGCACCAGACCCTCACCCTCTCACTTACTTAGGAACTTTGGCCCCCCTAGCCCATACTCCCTTACTAATTTCTTCTTTTATATAAGGTCCTTCCCATCCCATGTAACTACAGTATTATTTTCTTTCATCTTAAAAAACAACTACAACAATAAAATGCTTGCTTCTTATCCCCAGATAGGGAAACCAGATGAAGAGATTTACAAGCTCAGTGACCTGCTCCACAACATCACAGACCTAGAGGTGGTGGGGTCAAGAGTCAAGTCCAATTTTCCTGCCCCCAAAGCTGCATAGGTCAGAGCAGCGCTCTCCCCAGCCCACTGCTTTGGTTTGAGTGGCTGAGTGCAGGCAAAGGAGGCCTTTGCCAAGGACGCCCAGCCAACCCTGCCATGACCTGCGCAAGAAAGGCAGAAGGTTTTCAGGTGACTAGGGGACCTGCTGGGTCTGCAGGGGCCTGCTGAGTTGCCAGAACTCTGTCTTGATTGACTTGCCTGTCAGACTAAACATGGGTAGGGGGAAGGGCTGTTTCCAGAACTCCATCCCAGTCAGTACCATGCCAGCCACAGCAGGGTGTACGGGTGGCCATAATGGCAGACAGATGGGGCAGGTGAGGGGGGCAGAGCTGCCAATTATCACACACCCCAGTGCACAGATGACACCTCATAAATCTTGCAGGCCCACAGCCCGTGTGGCCTGCGCTGGTGGCTCATTAATGCCACCGGTCCTCAAGTACAGGTGGAAAATGACGGCTCATGTGGCAAGCTGCCTTCCCAAACCAGTTTGTCAGAAGGGTACACTTCTTTTCTCCACCACTCACCACATCCCTGTTCATGCCAAGAGCCCAGAGCAGCTCAGCCAAGGGGGGTTTCTTCCTGGGATATCAGACACTTAACCACCACCCAGTCACAGGCCTTCAGTCATCGACCCTCTTCTCTCCCCTCCCTGCTCTCAAAGATTCTCCCACAGAACAAACCCATTGGCTTTGCATCTGCCAGAGACATGGGGTCAAGTTGCAATTTTCAGACCACCAGAAAAGCATGCATCTCCAACCTCTTGTTTGTGTATCTGCTGAACCAGTGTTGACTTGAGCCATACTTCAAAAGGAACAGGCTGACCCACTTACTTGTCCGTCACAGCTTGCATGAACTCGTCCAGCAGGTCGTCGTATTCCTTCCCACGCACGCGCTGGTGTTTCAGCCCGATGTACAAAGGGTCTCTGAGCAGCTCCTGGAATAGACGGCATCCGTTTGCTCAATGGTCCTGGGTTAGTGGGAAGGACCAGGGAGAGGAAGGGAGGAGGGAGTCGGAAGTGGCCTGTGGACCCCGCCTCGTCAGCTGTCATCTCTGGAAGGGTCTGGAAGCTAAGCCATTGACTGAGCTGGGATTCTTAGGTGGTTCCAACTTCAGGAACCAAGGATGCTTTGATACAGAAAATCCTCTCAGACAGAGCCTTCCAAACCCTGGCTGTAGGCGCTCTGGGTTTATTTTAAGGTTTTTCAACAGTGGGGCTATTGACATTTGGGCTTGGAATTCTTGGATGGGAGGGCTGAACTGCATACTGCAGAATATTTAGCAGCATCTTTGGTCTCTAACCACTAGAAGTCAGTAGCACCCCCAGTCGTGACAAAAAAAAAAAGTCTCTAACCACTGCCAAATGTCTATTTGGGGGTTAGAACTGCCCCTGATTGAGAACCCCTCCAGGCAGCATCTAGATGGAGGTATTTATTGGATCTTGTCCAAAGCCACTGATCTGGACTCGAATGAGAAAACACTTTATTCAAAGAAAACTTACTGAATACCTACCATGTGCCTGGCACTGCGCTAGTCCTTGAAGGTACAAGGACAGAATATACAACCAGAGATTGCAGTTCGAGAGAGATGCCCACCTGAATACCAGCCTGTGTTAGGTAGCCCACCCCACTCCGCCTCCTGCAGCGCTGTCACAGTGCTCACACACACCTCCCCACCTCCTCTCTACCCCCTCACACATCCACCCTGCATAGAATCAGTGGACCCAGTCATACACGTTTATGGATCGTCCATTACTGCTGACATTGGGCCCCACTGGGGATTTGTAAATGAGTAGGAAATGGTTGTTGCCTTCCATGTGCCCACGGTCTATTGCAGGGGGCTAATGAGTAAACAAACTCTACTACAGTGCAGAATGATAGGCTTTGGCACGAAGTGTGGTGCATGGAAGGACAGAGAAGGAGTAAAGTAATTCCCATTGGGGGACAGGTGGTGATTGTCATGAGGAAATGACCGAGCATTAAAAGATGGGCAGATTCTGGGGGCGTCTGGGTTGCTCAGCTGGTTAAGCGTCCAACTCTTGATTTCTGCTCAGGTCATGGTCTCAGGGTGGTGAGATTGAGCCCTATGTGTTGGGCTCTGCGATGAGGAGTGGAGCCTGCTTGAGATTCTCTCTCTCTCCCTCTCCCTCTGCTCCCCGCCCCCACCATCACACACACACTCTCCCTCTTTCTCAAAAAAAAAAAAAAAAAAAGGCAGGTTTTGACAGGTGGGTTGGGCCCTTCAGGTGGGGAAGTCAGCACAAAGAAGGGCTGGGGGCTGGAGGCAGACAGAAGAAGATGTACCTGCTGTATTTAGGAAACAGGAAGTAATTCCATGTGTGAGGGTCTCCAGGAGTTATCTATTTGTGTCTATTTCATCAGAACAGGAGCTCCTTGAGGATAAGCGTCGGTGTTACCCTCATCTCTATCTGAACCGCAGGAGGTAAGGACCCCACAGCCCCACCCTCGAGTGGCTTCCATTCACTCTGACCCCCATCCCTGACCCTCCATGTGACCTCGGGCAAATCACAGGACCCCTGGGACCTGTCTTCTCATTCCTCAAATGGGGAGGAGAGGCCAGCTGCAGGGGGTGCTTGGGATGATGACATGGAATAATACGGGAAAGAGCTTTGTGCATTATAACACATGCTATACAGTAACGGCTGCAGCTGTAGCTTCCATGGCACTTCCTATGTGCCACATATTAAGGACTGTTCTAAGTACTCGTATCTCCCCTCTGGTGGGATAGCCATGGAGGTGTGCAGCTCAGAACTCCCTGAAGAGAACCTGCTGAGGGCAGGGAGACGGGCGGACAGCCTTCAGCCACCACCTCCCCCTGGGTGGCTCCTAGCCCTGGCTGAACATGGCAGGGTCAAGGGCGGCCCAGGGCTGCCCTGCCGGCCCTCCTGCAGGCGACCTTTGCTCGGGGCCTCCTGTCACCCTGCCCGAGGCTTTCCCAGGACCCCACTGCGGGCTGGGCTCTTGGGACTGAGGTCTCCGTCCTCCCGCCTCTCCTGTCACAGGTCTCGCACCTGCACTGGGGTCTGAAGGCCTTACCCACTTGCCGACTCCTCCTGCTCCCCCCTTTTTTCTTCACGGGGGTCCCCCAAGAAACCTTTCACACCTCTGTTTCTAGAGGGGCCCAAGCAGACACAAAGGTGGGTGTTGCAATTTCCCCCATCTGACAAATGAAGCAATGGGGCACAGAGAGGTGAAGCAAGCTGCCCAGCCCCCGAGCTGGTACGGGGAAGAGTCGGGAGTCACAGTGAGGCTGCCTGGCTCCAGGGCCCATGGTCGCTGCCACAGAACCCTACTGCGTGGGCGGCTCGTTTGCACATCAACCAGAATGGACTCCGTTTTTGTTAGACACTGCTCTAGATCCATACTCTCTTGACGGCGCTGTGGAGGTGGAGGTCATTGTGCAAAAGTGTAGGGGACAGAAAAGAATAGGCAGGATCTGCCTTCCTAAACCCTCAGCTCCAGTGCTCATGCGCATCACCTGAGGGACCGCGGGTCTATGTTTAGCAAGAGGCCTTTCGTTTCTCACTCCCTTCACCCATGGGCAATCCCTCCGTGAGACAGGTTAGGATTCTGCCCTGGCAGGTGTATGTATTTGTGAGACAGAAGGATGACAGGGGGCACATTTGTGTCCCCCTTCACATGCCACCTTCAAGGTGACCCTCTGAAAGCCACTTAGAGGCAGCAAACAGCCAGCCGAGGGCAAACCATAAATGTTGTGATGACTTGATAGAAAGCTAGGCAGTTAGGGATGCCTGGGTGGCTCAGTTGGTTGAGCATCTGCCTTCAGCTCAGGTCATGATCTCAGGGTCCTGGGATTGAGTCCCACATCAGGCTCCTTGCTCAGCAGGGAGCCTGCTTCTCCCTCTGCCTACCGCTCTCCCTGCTTGTGCTTTCTTTCTCTCTCTCTCTGACAAATAAATTAAATCTTTAAAAAAAAAAAAAAAAGCTAGGCAGTTATTAAAATTGGTGGTTTTTAAGACTATGCAGCCACCTGGACTGACATGTAGGAGATTATTGAAAGTGAGAAAAGCAGGATACAAAACTACACAGATGTAACTTCAACTCTCTGAAGCACACACATACAGCCCAGAGGGCACGCAGAGAAATGATAAAAACAGTATCACTGCTGGCACCTGCAGAAAAGATTCACATTTTTAGTTCTTGTAAGAGACTTACCCGGGGCCACAGTGAGTTGTAACTTGTAATGTTGCCAAGTGGCTGATTTGGATCACTGGTACATCAGGCAGCGAAAAGCGAATTTCTCAGTGTTCCATGTGCGGTTTGTGGGGCAAATCAGATTCTCCAGGAATACTGAGGAATTTTTGGATTTTCCAAAAATTTCTCAGTATATCTGCATTTAAAGTCAAAGGCCAACTATAAAGAGGTACTACTGAGATAGAAGGGTGGCTATGAAAGCTTTAGAACATTCCTTATATTTTGCTTTTATATTAAAATTATGCCTGAAATACTTCATACCTAAGCACACATACACAAATTGGAAAGAAAGTTTCTATATGGAGATAATACTAAAAAGAGCTTCTTCTCTTTATATAGAACTTTCAAATAATTCACTCCTGAATCAAAAGTAATGTGATCCTTCCACCTTACATATTGTCATCCCCATGCTATAGATGAGGAAGGTGAGCCAGAAAGTGGCTGAGCTGAAATTGAGCCTTGCTTTGCCTGGATCTCATGACAGTGTCCTTTCCCCCCAATATTCCATGTTGTGGGGACCAGGTGACCTGGGGGTGGCTCCTCACCCTCTGCCCAGTCCTCTGGAGGCACTCAGTCATAGCAGGGAAGGTGCAGGTTCTGATCCTGCAGAGGAGGCTGGGGAGCAGGGACAGCAGGACAGAAGCCGAGTCCCCATCGCCAGCCAGCTGGGCCTCCTCTGGCAGCAGCACAAGGTGGAGCACTCATGGCTGTCTTGGCACGATGCGAAACAAGAAGTCCCCATCCTGCTCACTGTCCCACTGAGTGACGTGGCCATCAGAATGGCCACCAGCAAGGTGTGGGACCCTTAGCTGGCCTGGACTCTCTCCTTGTGGCCCTCCTCTATCCTTGACTTCCTTACATAAATGCTTAGAAGTGTTTAGCAGCAAGTATTGCCAGATAAAATACAGAACGCCTGGTTAAATTTGAATTTCAGATAGGCAAGATTTTTTTTTAGCCTATGTCCTAAGTTTTGCATGGAGCATACATGGGACATATGCAAAAATGCAATTAGCTATTTATCTGAAATTTAAATTGAGCTGGCATCCTATAGTTTTCTTTGCTAAATCTGGTAGCCCTATCAGGAGAGGCAGACGGAACCTTGAAAGCTGGCAGGCAGTGTCTGCAGAGGAAAGAGCACTGCCTCGCTGGGTCGCCCTGCTCAGGATGCTTCCTCTGAGTGCCCGCAGTATGGTCTGGCTTTAGAATCAGAACGGGGTCTGGGCTTTGGAGATGGACAGACCTAGTTCGAATTTAGTCTCTGTCGCTTAGGTCTGTGACTTTAGGTTTTTCTTGGAGACAAAATGTCATGAAAAACAAAACTGGTTTCCTCCTCTTCACTTGCCCTCTCACTCCCTGAGCACTGGCTTTAAACTGGAAGATAGATGAAGCTTCTGGCTGGGAAAAGTATTTATCTCATGTAGCAACAGGCACACGAAGAAGTTACTTGGGGAGCATCTGGGGGTCTGGGGAGGTCCTGGGATTGGGTTCACGCTGTGGACACAGCCCACGTTCCCCCATCAGGGTGGCAGGTATGCCTACCGCGCATGTGTTTGGGGGCTCAGTTAAGCCCAGGGATCAGCTATGAAGATCCTAGGAGGGGCACCCTCAAAGGTCACGTGTATACAGAGCGAGTGCATCTGACGGCACCACAGGGTGAGTGCGGGCTGTTTATCAGCTGCAGTAACGATGCTCTTACGAGGTGGACACGGCCCTTCAAGCCCAGCTCTGTTGGCAGCCCCACGCTTCCCCGGGACTCCGGCAGCACCCCCAGGGATGGCCTGCTGGGCTCTGTGGACAGTCTGTTCCCATGTCTCCCCAAGAAGACATCCCTCCATTAGAATCCATTGAGGCTCAAGACTTCTGCTAGGAGAAGATTGTTAAGGCTCAGGGACCATTTTAAAGCCAAGCCCCGGGGTTGCCCTGCAGGACCTGTCGTGTGGAGTGGCATGAGCATTGGGCTTGGAGTCAAACCTGGAGCAAGCCATTTCTGCTCTGCGCCCCTTCTGGGTGAAATGAGGGGTCTCAATGAGAAGTACATTTGACCCTTGAACAACAGCTTTGAATGGCACAGGTCCACTTATCTGTGGATTTTTTTCAATAAATACAGTACAGTGCTCTAAATGTATTTTCTCTTGTGATTTCTTAATAACACTTGCTTTTCTCCAGCTTACTTCATTGTAAGGGTACAGTATATAATCCATACCACATACACAATACATGTTAATTGGCTATTTACATCATCGGTGAGGCTTCCAGTCAATAGTAGGCTATTAGTAGTTAAGTTTTGGGGACTGAAAAGTCCTGTGTGGATTTTCAACTGCGTGGGTGTCAGCACCCCTCACTCCTGGGTTGTTCAAGGGTCAACTGTAGCTCAGGTCCCTTCGACCGTGGACAGTCTGTGACACTGTCTGGCTGCATGTGGATGAAACAAAAGACACAAACCAATCCACGCACAGCCATGGAGGATCCCAGCAGGTGGGCCTATCGGGGCGGGGGGGCTCCCTGGCTTTGTCCCTTTGGAACTTAATCATGGGATATCACCTCTTCATGGGATCGCTGCCCCACATATTTATTTTTCCAAACCTCCTTGGGGTCAGCAGGTAACAGTGACTCAGAGTTTCAGGGCTGTCGACAGCAGATGTTTTCCTTCAACAGGAAAGGTGGAAGGGTGTTTTCCTTGACTCTGATTCGAGCTCCTGTTGCCCCAGGAGTTTTCACAGAGCACGCGCACGTACACACACACACACACACACACACAGTCTTGTTATCGCGACACTCCAGCTCCTCAAACAGCATGCTCCCTGCACGGACATGTAGATGAAAGTTGCAAGGTTAAGCCCCTCTCTCCTATTGCTCTGGCTTGCTCTGGGGGAGAGACGTGCCCCAAGACTTCCGGGGAGGTGGGAACCTTGCAATCTTTTTTTTTTTTTTTTTAAAGAACTGTAGTGTGGGAAATCACATAATGAATGCATTTGGAAGAGCGAAACCACCGTCTTCCCAATGTTGGCCACTTTGTAAGTCTGAATTTTTGTGTCTTGAATTTTGTGAAGAGGGTCTGGGGGGAGTTTGCCTTTCTTTGGGGCGGGAGGACCGTGCTCATGGCATCGATAACCCCTGGGCCTGGGCGTCCATGGGGCCCCCGCCTGCGTGAACCACCACCTTTCCCAGTCTTCATCACCCAGTCTGTAACACAAACGCCTGGCCCCTTGAAGCAGTGCACCACGGTGGACAAGGCAGCTCTGGAGCCAGAGAGACAGGTTCAAACCCTGGCTCTGACACTTAGCGCTGTGGGGCCTGAGGTGAGTAGTTCCCATGTGTGGGTCTCAGGTTCCTCATCTCACACAGCCTGGGGAGAGTGAAATGAAGTTCAAATCCACAGAGGCCTCAAGCTACGCCTGGCACACCGCAGTGCTCGGAGCTGCTTTCTCTTTGCCCGCCCGCATGGCGTGGCAGGGGCGGCACCTGCCCTCAGTGCGAGTTCCCTCCTCTGAGCTGGGGAGTACTCCGGTCCTTCCTGACGGGAGTGGGGGCAGACCCAAGGGACGCTCTCTTCCTTCCACAGCCAGGAGGGAGAAGTGATTCAGAGGCCTAAAGCCCCAGGCGGAGAAGCAGACACTTGGAGGAGAAGGACCACATTAGCCATTAAAAGTGATCAATTAGGTGACAGTGTTGAAATATAGTGTAGAATATTCCACTCAGGCTCTGGCTCTCATTTTTCTCCCTCATGCCTAGCAGAGTGCCTGACACCTACTAAACATTCAATAAACTTTTGCTAAATAAGTAGGGAGAAAGTGTTCATAAAATAACATTCATTGAGAAAATGAGAACAAAATTACATGCATGTTACTCCATCTATGTTGATGCATAGACGAATATTGGAAAGGAACATGGATGGAGCATGGTGGGAGAGATGCCATTTCCCTTTCCAAGATTTTGAATAGTGTGTTCAGGTTACTTTAGTAATAAAAACTCTAAAAAGAAATGACCTTTACTTCTAAAGCAGCTGGCACCCAGGCAGGCAGGGGTGGTGTGGGCAGACGGGGGCGGACAGAGATTAGGATCCCCGCCCTGCCACTCCTGGCAGATCTTCTTTTCGGGCAACTTAATTTCTCTGAGTTGTCAAGCTTACACAGGGTGGTCTGTGAAAAGTGCCTGGCCATGACTTACTCATAGCTTCCTGCCATCTCTTCTGGTGGGTTTATTATAAGTTGGGGCTAGCTCTAAGTTTCAGCACATCATTGCAGGGTGTCGATCTTCAATGACATGGGATCTTATGCAAATGCTAGAGGCAACCCACACCCTTCCAGGGGATATAGTGGCCTTAGAATCAGACCCAATCTTGCTTAAAGTCAGCTTTTAGGAGAGAATGAGTAAAGGTCTCAATGAAATCCTGTTGGAACACAGTAGGAGGAATTGGATGGGAAGAACAGCTAAAACAAAGTTCACTACACTCATCCTCGCCTTCATGATTCCATGCATGTTGGGACCAAAGAACCATTTCTGCAAGACCCAGGCATCTGGTCTGGGGAAGAGAACCACAGCATGCAGCAGACCTTGAAGACTGCTCTTGCCATCCTGCCTCCTGTCTTCTAGGCTGGAGGGGAGGCATATGGAGAAGAGCTTTGCAGGCAGAACACTCAAAAACCTTCTGGTCCAGTTCCTCATTGTACTGGAAGGGGCTCAAGTCTGAATAGGTGCGGGGACTCAGCTGGCTATCAGTGGTGTCAGGACCAGGGTCCCCACTTCCCAGGCCAGTCCTTCTCCCACTACCCTTGTCCTCCCTCACCCCACTCCCACACCCACAATTTCCCAGCTTTTAAGCGAGGTCTGCCTGGCTGTCCTCTCACCTGATGGCATCTGTGGCTGAAGCCTGAATAAGCATCATTCCTTGCAAGGAGCCACAGTGCTCGTTCTCGTTTAGAAATGGGGATGTATGGTGTCCAGGGAGGAGGATGGCCATGCAAAGAGTCATGGCAAGTATCTTGAGAAAGATCACTGTGGAATGCGAGTAAGATAACCTTTTCAACCATATGAATCAAGAATCTAGAAGACCACTCCCTTTGCCTCAACATTTCTGTTTCTAGGACATAATCACAAGTAGAAACAAAGACTGATCTGCAAAAAATGGGCTCAGAGTAAAACTTATATTTGCAAAAAGATGAGAAGCAACCTGAGTGTCCAGCTGTGGGAGGTTTCCTTTGTAAACTGTGACACCCCAGGGAGTGGACATTGTGCAAAATGGCTAATGACCTGGGAGAAAACTCACCATATATACTAAGTTTTAAAAGCAGGATACAAAACTATATATTCAAACCCAATTTTGGTTTTATAAATACTTTGTGGTGGGGCGGGGGGAGGGGGAAGGCTGGAAGGAAATATATCAAAATGGAAAGCATGATTAGTACTGATGTATAACTGATATTTTTAACCTCTCTGATTTTCTGGGGTTTTTTTCCATTTTAAAAAAAATGAATTTGCACAGATTTTAAACTCAGAGATGCATGCCATGAAGAAGGAATTCTTGGGTAGTTTTATGTCTTCTCTGACACAGGGACCCAGAATGGAGCCTGCAGATGCACACAAACCCCGTGTCCCAGGGAGGTACCCAGAGCAGCCAAACTCTTGCCTGTGGTTTGAGCTCCTTATATCCCAAACCATCTGGCATCTGCAGGTGGATCTCACCCACAGCTTGGAGCATGTTTTCTCCCTGGGCTTGCAGGACACTCATCTGGCTGATTCAGATATTTCATCCCCTGGCCCTGGTGCTTTGGGTTTTAATTCTTTCATTGAGGCAGCCTACCTCTACAATGCTGAAAAAATACCTCCCAGCAGCCTCTTCTGCCTGGATCAAGGGACCCTCCTCACTACTGAATCAGAGAGAGGCCTCGGAGGGCAGTCATGGAGTGGGGAAGCAAACAAGGCCCAAGCTGGGGTCATGGAGGGCACAGAGGGCCTTGAGGAGGAAGGGGAGCCAGGAATCCCCGTGGCTGGGGGGTGGGGGGGTGGGGAGGTGGGGAAGGGAATGGGCTGGGCAGGCAGGGAGAAGAAAGGTCCCCACTTCTTGGCCATGCAGGGGAAGTGCCCTGGCGAAGGGGACCCAGGAAAGAAATGTCCCAGTGCTTTACAGATATAATTGCCCCTTTCAAAGATGCCCCAGCCCCACTCCAGCCATCAGCTTCTGGCCCCAGGGCTCCAGGCCCAGGTGGTGCATTACCTCATTGTTGGTGCCGACATCCAGCAGGACGGGGAGGCACTGCTGCGGGCTGACCCCTCCGCACGCTGTGTACAGGGCCAGCTTGCCCACGGGGATGCCCATGCCGTAGCAGCCCAGATCTCCCAGGCCCAGGATGCGCTCCCCATCAGTCACCACCACGGCCTGGAAACAATCAGGAAAGAGCCTCTTGTGACAAAGTGCTCATTTTATCACCCCTCCTGCGTGGGGCTTGACAGGTGGATGCCCACCTCCTCTGCTGGGGGATGGAATCCTGGTCAGGGAAAAGGCCGAGGGATTCTTCCATTGCAGGTGGGAGTCCTTCTCCCTGTCCCCCATCTTGGCAGCTGGTGAGAAGCCCCACTGAGCTGGGCAGACACCTTACCCTCCATTCTGAGATTTGCGACAGGGGCTGCAGAAACAGCTGGAGGGAAACCACATCTGGTCACTCTCCCTCAAAGAAACTAAGCAGATATTCCCAGCTTGAGATCTGGGCATAGGACCATAATGAAAGGAGACCCTGAGGGACAAGTGTTCATGCTGCTGCCACAAGCCCACGGTTTTGAGGCTGATGGAAGTGCCCTCCGCCTGCTCCTGGGGTACAGTAAGTCCAACCTGCAAAGGGCAGGGCTCCCGTGACAGCGGCTGGGGTCACTACTTCCCAGGAACCCAGGAGGGTTCTCAAGCTGTACTGGGGTTACCACTGTGCTTTGGCAAATAATCACTGGTGGCATACTTCGTGCTAGTTCGGGGCTTGCTTGCTGTTAATTAACAGATGCTGAAGAAGCTGATGGTGATAGAAATTACTATGATTTTGATAGATATTCATTTATTCATTCTTTTACTACATATTTATGAAGCACCTACTTGGCAGACACTATGCCAGATTCTGGGAGAAGGAGCATCACTTTGCTCATTTGTAATAACAAGTCTGTATGGATTCAGGCCTTAAAGAACTAAGGGGCAATAAAAAGAGATGAAACATGTCTACTTATAATTAACAACTCTGGGAGGAAAGTGAGGATAGTGGAGCAGCACGAGGGTAGCCGAGACTGAGAAGGGAGAATTACATCCTGTAGGGTAACCCTTCGTAAGGGTGAGGGCACACAGGAGAAGACTGTCTGCAGGGGTCCAGCTGGGGAGAAAGGTACTTGATGCAAAAGGAAATTCGGATGCAGGACAGAGGTGGGGAGGGTGTGGGCTGTGTGTGGGGAACGAGGAGGTGCAGGTCGCATGAAAGGAGAGAACAGAATGTCAGGCAGGAGTCAGACGGTGAAGGGTCTTAAAAGTCAGGCCACAGAAATCCCCTCGGGTGACAGTGAAGTTGTTTATAGTCACCCTGACCTGCTCACCATCACTGCCTCCCTCCATCTTGAAATGAGTTACATTTATGGGGCTACCTATCCCTCCACTGGAGCCTGGCTTTGACCAGGGCTTAGGACCAGCTCTGAGTGATGGACATCCCAGTGCCCCAAGCGTGGTGCTCCTGGGTGGGCATCATGGGGCTCAGCTCAATCTATGCAGGCACACTAAGCCCTGGGGATAAAGAGATGAAGACCCATTCTTGCTCTGGAAGAGTTTATGATCCAGGACCCAAAGGGCCCATGGCATCTTATCATTTATATTCTCCAGCTCTCTAAGAGTAAGAGCACACAGAGGTGCTGCCTTTTGGTAGAAACAGGTATAGAGATTCTTAAAAACACTCCTCCACTTCTGGAAAGGGGACTTGGGGGGGCGGGCAGAGCAAGAGACCCATGACGATCATGATTTTCCCCCTCAGATTATCTACTGCCTCTATGGAGAGTGTTCTCAACCCACATGCCACCTGATTCTCCCCACAGCCCTGGCAGGTGGGTGAGTCTGAGATTGTTATCCCCATCTCACAGGTGAGCAAACAGAAGCTCTAAGACCTTCATGTTTTATATACATGTGTTAAGTATCAGCCAGAAGCCAGGCCCTGGATTGGATGTTTCCACATGAGGTATCTTAGAAAGATTAGATGGCCTACCAAAGTCACCTTGCTTGTGCACGTGGCAGGTCAGAATCCTAATCAGGCTTTGGGTTCCTGGCTCTGGGGTCCTTCTACCACCACTGCAACAGGGTTAAAGCACCTGTGTCTTGGTCAACTTCTGCCCTGCCTCTGACCTCCCCCTGGGGGAGCCTGTGCTTTCATGCTGCCCAGACTCAGGGCATTCCTCTACCATCTCTCCTGATCAAGGCTTCCTTATTCCAATTCCCAGTCTCTCAGAATTTCTCTCCATTGAGGGGCAGTGAGTTAACCAGAGGAGATCGGCTCCTACTCCAGGGTGTTATGCCTACAACTCTGGGGCCTTCCCAGATGGTGACAGGGCTCTCCAGGGCTGCCCTCCAAGCCTGAACCGTGCAAGGGCCCTCTCCTGCACGGCTGCCTCCTCACTTCCATCTGCCACCCTCTCTCCATCACTCAGTGCTATTGGTTGGATTATTACAACGCTTCATGACCAGACTCATCTTTCCTCCTTCCAGTCTCTCCACATGCACTGTGTCAGAAACCCATTTTCATCATGCCATTCCCAGGCTCAAAGACCTTGAATGACTTCAAACTGTCCATAGAATAGAGTCCAAAACATTTAACACCTTAATGATCTGAACCCAGTATATGTTCTGACTTAGCTCTTGCTACTCATTTGCACACAAGTGCCTACTCCAGCCAAACTGACCTCCTCACTCCTCCCAGACATCCTCTGAACTCACGTATGATCTCCTCCCTCTCAGCCCCCATGGTCCTCTCTCCTAGAAGGTCCTCCTCCAGCATGCAAACCCTGCTCCATTACAATCTAATGCGATTTCTCCTAGCACCTGTTAGGGCTACCACACAGCTAGCCTGCGCACCCTTCCTGCCTGCCTGCCTGCCACAAACATTGACTAAGTACCTACTGCTTGCCAACCCCTGCATAAGGTTCTGCTTACATATTTGGGTTCTTATTTAACATTTTTAAAAATGCACATTTTATCTCACCAAACAACCTAAAGATTAATGGCGGGGGTTCTGGAGTAATCTTGGGTAAACAGATAATTTTTCTGAGTTTTAACTTTCCATCAAGTGGGGGATAATCATACCTAACTCATCAGATGGTTGTAATGATGAAGTAATATCAGTCTCATTTTAACCAGGTGCCTTGGGTAAGTGATCAATAAACGGTTACTGCTCTTATGATTATGATGATGGTTATTATTTGGGGCAAAGATCCCATATTGGATTTTTAATTGTTTTATCTTCTCTCTAGTTCAGCATTATCACAGGAAGGCCATACAGTAAGCATCTGTTCAATGAGTGAATGAAATGGAACCAAGAGGAGACCGTGGTGGCCATTGGCCAAGAAAGTCGGTCATGCAAAGCTTGTGGCTCTTATGTCCTCTCTAAGCAGACATTGCCATTTGGATGTCCAATAGTCCCCCCAAATTCCCGAGTCCCTAACCAAATGAATCTGCTTTCCCTTTATTCTTCTAAACCTTTCACTTCTGCTGTCCTCCCTCCATTACCTTGGATTTCCCAAGCTCAAAACTGTCCTGTTACAACTCCTCTCTGTCGGTCGTCAACCACAGCCAACTGGTCACCAAGTTCTGCTGATTCCATCTGCTCCTTACTTTTCCATTTGTTCCATGATCTTCACTTGCATTGTTGCTGCCTTCGGGTGAGCCCATCCATCTCATCTGACCACTGCAGTGGTCTCTTCACAGGTCCCTCCACTCTTGGATTCCCCGTGCCCCATTTCATTTTTCCAAAGCACACCCAGCTTTGCGACTTCCTTACCCCAAACCTCCAATGTCTCTCAATGCCTGTGAAATAAAGCTCAAACATCTTTGGCGTTTAAGGCCTTCCATGGTCTAGGTCCTAACTGCTCTTTGAATTTCTTCTTTATCCAAATAAAATAATTCCAACCTTGTATAAGGTCTGTACTTTCCCGACTACATGCCATTTTACCCCTCAATCCCTATGATCTCCGTGATCCAAATCCTACCATCCTTGTATGCTTCAAGGAACAGTACAAAAGTCACCTTCCTCCATGATGTTCCCCTTCCAGAAGTCATACTCCTTCCTCTAAGTTCCCATGGCATTTTCCTCGTATTATGTTAGTTAGATGATAACTTCATCTTTCATAGTTCTAAGCTCTTTAGGGCAAGTAATGGGTCTTGTCATCTTTGATTCTTCAGGCACTTAGCTTGGTGCCCGCAATGTGATAGGAACTGGATAAATGGTGGCCAATATGATAGATCCAACCTAGAGAGCAGAGGCTTTCCACAGGACTGCTTCATATGTGGTGTGAATGAACAAGTTCAGGGAGAAGGTGCTGGATCTTATTTTTCATGACATCAATGGAGCTGGATGCCAAGGGCCACTAGTACGGTAGAAGTCAAAATCTGAGGACAAGCATGAGAAGCACTGTGGGGTTTTAGAGTCCAGCAGTAACTATCAGTGAACTACAGGATTGCAGCTTCCTTGTTTGGATGGCATCTGCAACTCATACCTCCTCTGTATTTCAGATGACGAAGGAGGAGGGTGGGCCACATTCTTCCTCTGTCCACCTAGTGTGGACCTACAGCCTTTTCTGCCTTACTGCCCATGTGCCTTAGCCTAGGTGGACCCAATGGGGCTGACCCCATTGCTCTAGCCTCAGTTTCCTTACTTGCTGTAGCCCCAGGTTCCTTGGATCTGTAGTTATGTCATGGGCTGCCCACAGCCCTCACCTCCTCCCTCTCTCTCATCCTTCCCTTTTTATTCCTCTTCCTCTCCTTCTCTCTCCACTACATAAATAACACACAGTCTGCAGTTGCAAATCTTGGTTCAACCCTTCACAGGCAAACAGCCACCTTCCTTGTCTATAAAATGGGGGTAATAATAATTCTCACCACTTATAGGTCATTAGAAGTCGATGAGGTCAGATGCTGCATGAGGTGGATACAGGGATGTGCTGCCCACATCTCCCTTTCAGGACTCAAGGAGTGATTCCCTCAGCTGTTCCCTCAGGTGTCAGCCCACTTGGAGAATTTCCTTGACTGAAGAGCCACCTTGCCCCAAGTCATACCCTGTTCCGAAGGGCAGCAGCCCACAACCAATGACTGATGGATGCAGGGGTATAAAGGCCCAGCTCCCCTGCCCCAACTCCGTTGGACTTGGAAGAGCCACCCCAGCTCCAGAGGCTCCTCATGGGCTCAGCTGAGGCTTCCTTGAGGCCTCACTCCGCCCAACCTCTTTCTAGCCTTTCTCCTGCTTCCTTCCCTTCTAGAGGTATTGATACCAAGAGCACTCCCTGAGAGGCTAATGTCCATCTCAGAGAATGTTTCCCAGGACACCCACCTTCGGACACCGAGGACAGAGTGGGTTTAACACGTGGCGGGCCTGTGCATAATGGGCAGGCACTTGGCGCCAGCACCTGGTCCAAGTTGAGACGCCCATGTGGTTGGTGCTCAGCAGCAGAGGCTGCCTCTGGGCCTCCCCTACCCAGCTGCCTCTCAGTACCTTCCCTCCTTCCCCCCAAAGATGCTGGGCCTGGGGTGAGGGAGAGATTTAGGAGCTTGGGAAAGCTGTGGGGAGGGGGGCTATTCTCAGGTGAGTTTTCCTCAGGCTCAAGGCAGTGGCCACTGTGGGAAAGAGTCAGAAAAGCAGTTCTCACTCCTTTTCATGATTTATAGCCGGACAGCTCTGGGCGACCTGGCCCACCCCCTCCTCCCTGAACAAGAGGGGCCCACAAAACTCCATGGTCCCCCCAACCCTGGGCTTTGGCCTCACCTCCCTGCCAGCCTGCTTCTTCTACACTGCAGTTTGCAGTTCTGCTTTCTGGCTGGGACACCAGGGAAAGTCATCCTTTATCTTGGGATGTGATTCAGAAGCTCCTCTGAACCACTTCTCCCCTCCAGCCAAGAGGCCACCAACATCAGGATCTAAAGATACCCGTGCCTTGGAAAACTGCCTCCTCGACTCAGCAGCTGGGGAGGAGGTGGCTCAGCGGCAGGGCTCTGGGGGCGTCGACACCTACTCATGGGTGACCATGGGCAAGTCACGGAACCTCAGCTTGCTCGCCTGAGAAACGACACACCCCTTTCTTCAGGACCCACTTTGGGGGCATCAGCCGCACCCCTTCCTTCTCCATTCTGATCACAGGGGCTGTGAGACCCAAAGGAAATAATGAGAGGGAATCCAGCTCCAAAATACCATGAAAGGGATTCCCTGCCTAGCGAAGGAGACCTTCATCTCCTCTTTTTAGGGCAACTGGAGAAAACACACGAGCAAACAAGAAAGACTAGGACTTAGAACATTCTGGACCTTTGAAAGGGCAGCCTTAGGGGTGGGGGGGGAAGGACCCTCCAGAAAAGGCTGGTGGACGGGGCAGGCGGGAGACCCGGGTAAGCTGGGAGCAGCCTGAGCAGCCCTAACTGCTCCTCTCTTTGGCAGCACAGACACAGTCTATGCAATTGTTTCCAGGTCAGTCTCTCCAACCAGGCCCAAAGTCTGGAAGCTACAGAGATGTTTACTCAATGAGCGTTGAGTGCAACAGAATTAGATGCACTGGTCCAGATGTCCCCATGGAACCTCTGTTTTCCTGAGAGGCTTTGGACGCCTCTCTCCTTCTGAGGCCCACTCCAGCCCCGCCCACTCTGGGGTGACCTAAAGCTGCATTCCTCTTCCTCTAAAATCACAAAAGTGGTTGTCTCCAGCTCTCTGGTAGTTAGCACTTAGTACGTAGGAAGGTTCTCAAACTATGTGTGTTGAAGTCAGTCAACGAGTATTTTATAAGTTGTGCCCTGACAAAAGGAGCAGCTAGAGCCTGAAATCCAGCCCATGAGCCCCTCACTGAGCCTCTGTGCCACCTCAGAGAAAGGAGCACCTTCTTCTTACTGGTTAAGATGCAATGGCTTTTTGTCGTTCTCTTTAATTCCTCGTAGCTTGCACAAAGGCAGGTGTATGTTGGTGAGGACTCCATTTCTCTGCTCCTGGATCAGTGCTTGGTACATGGGAGATGCTCATCATGTCTGCTGCCTGAGTTCACGCACCTCAAGCGTCTACTGCATGCCCAGTCTGCACAAGCTTTCACCGTGGGTGAAGTGCCCAGGATAGATCAGCTTGCAGTACCTCAGCAGCCTGTCTGCACAGGGCAGGCTGGAGTTCACTGCCCATCCAGTGAGCTGGCTTCCCTGAATGTGCTGAAGATTTTACTATAGCTTCATCTTAGACACGCCATAGAAACTCGCTTCTTCTGGGACTGAGACCAAAACCTGTAGGGCCCAGGCCTGCACGAAACCAGAGTCTAAGCAGACAAGCAGGGCAGAAATGCCCAGGGCAAAATCACACCCAGACAGAGATGTACGAAATGAGCCCTTCACTGTGGCCATAAAGTCCACAGACCCTGGCAGTGGTTTGGGCCTGGCTCCTAAGAGCCAAGCTCCTGCCTTCCTTGTTCTGGCTCAGAATGCTACCACTCCCCAGGGAGGGCCAGAAGTGGGCAGGACACAGAGAGAGGTGTGCAGAGGGAAGCTGTGCTTAGTGCCTAGTGGAGAGAGATGGGGTAACTGAGGGAACTGGCAGGAACAGGGAGGGCAGGCCTGAGGAGGAAGCCATGGTGGAGTGCCTCCCAGTCAGCTCCAATCCTTCCCCAGCTCGGGCGCCAGAAATGCCCTCGCGAAGCAGCTAGCAGGTGTTTCGCATTTTTGCTTCACCCATTTGCAGAAGCGACGATCATCTTAGACGGGAAAGCCCCTCATACTCTTCCACAGAAGTTCCCTAGCAGGAGGCGATCTGGGCATGTAGCCAGAGGCTAACAAGTTTCTACAAAGCTGCAGGTTTTATATTTCAAAACTAACATAAACTTTGCATATTATATTATATCCTGTTTATTATATAAAAATGTTTTTTCCTTAGATTATTTGAGTAAAGCTGATATTCCAGGCAAAAGAGGCAGGTTTCTTTCTTCACTCTGCATAGAATTACCACCTGTCTCCCTGCCCCTCCCCCCAAACTGTGTGCACACACATGAAAGTACTGTTTACCATAAACTTTGCCTCTTCTTGCAGAATGTCCCCACTCTATGTCCTACTGTCTCCAAGGCCTATCTGGCTAAACTCTACCCCTTAACTCAAGGCCCTGCTCCAATGTCACCTCTCCCATAAGTCTTCCTAGATTCCCCTCAGGCTAAAAGTAATCTCTGCCTTTGTGAACACCCTCAGCTCTCTCCGTGTGCTTCACTTACTTCTGACCAAGTTCCCTGTTAGTCTTTTGTGTCTCTGTCTTATTTTCCTCATGAAAGTCAGCTACTTGAGAAGTTCTGATTTTTCCCTGTATCCTCCATGGAAACTGGTGTTGTATATATAGTAGGTACTCAATACATGCTGAACAGATTTCAGAGCACTACTATTAATAATAATGATAAGGGCAATTTCACCTGGGTGTGGGTCACTGCAAACCTCTGCTCTGTGGTGCATTTATGCCTGGCGCTAACCGGGCTGGGCTCTGGGCCAGGGAAGACCTGCAGTGTCTCGCCCTCAGTGTTATAATGGCTCATTTTCTAGCTGGGGATGACTCTGGTCCAGGTTGAAAGGATTCACCCAACAACAGCAGTAACAAAGAAAACAGGATCATACCTTAATATTGTCTTCTGGCCAAGAGTTTAGCATGGTTGCAATGTGGCCCTTGTCATGAATGGTGATGAACAGCCCACTAGGAGAAAAAACATGTACACAGAGAGAAACCAGGCAGTCAGACTAGGAACAAAGACCACAGTCCTGTTTATCACTGCACCGTTTAATTTTTCCCACAGACATGGTCAAGGCGGGGCCTTGCCCCCAACATTTTGGAGGGCCCCAGCCCTGGCCTTCCTCCAATTTCTCCTCTCCACAAGGCAAGGAGTCCATGGGGCCGAGGGATGTGCCCACCTGGGGCCTATGCTCACCAGAGCCTGCACCCTCCCTTCTTCCTTCTAGACCAGGCACACAGGACCCCAGAATTCTCTGAGGGACCCCAAGGCTGCTTCAGGAAACCATGTCGGCATCTTCCTGGGTCCCCCCGTTTCTGAGTATAGACCACACTATGGTGGGCAGAGCCCTAGGCCTGGGGCTGTGACTGGAGCTTGGACGTTAGAGTTGTGGTACCAGACACAGGTACAGGAGGCCCCGGGGCAGTGGGGGACAAGGCTGGGGATGGGAAGAGGGGTGGGCTGCCAGCCAGGAGCCACTCTTCTTTGCAGTACTAGAGCATGTGACTTCTAAATTCAAACGTGGCCTTCCAGACCAGCAGGAAGGTACATCTGTAAAGGCGGTGGGGGGGGGGGGATGTATTTTATTTACCAGTGTATTCGCTTGATTTTAGAACTTTTATTTATGTTTAGACCTCCGTATGTGGACCTAAGTCTTCTGCCCTGGGATCAGGGGTATGAGAATATGTATACCTGGAGAATATCTGTGCCACTTCCTTCCTTTCCTTTGTTCCTCCAATGCATCCAGAAAGGCTCCTTTTCCTAACGAGGTACTCCCTCTGGTTCGCCAATGTGAGTAGGCTGGGGAGGTGTGGAAAGCAGCGTCCCCCACTCTCACTGCCCTGGCTAACTCAGAGAAGACTTCCAAACAGTACTTTACATGGCTTTGTGAGAGGCTTGGATTTTGGATCCGTTATTTAAATCATGCCCTAGTCAACACTGTAAAGGCCCTTGGCCCTGCTCTTTGGTCTCAGCAGTGTTGTAAAACTCCCAACCCTGGATACACCTACTGTCTGTTTCCTGTGGGCCCCACCCAGGCAGCCAAGGGCAGGGGGAGAAAGCCAGACCACAGGAAAGGCTGACGGGCACCACCACAAATTCTTCACCGGCAACCCACATGCACTCTCAACAACTGCTCAGTCTTTGTTCTTTCGGTGTTTCTCTGCTCAACTGTCACTCTTTCCACTCTTTGCAAAGACTATTTTAAACTTCTCTGTTCTCAAACCTCCAACGGCCTCACCGTCCCCCAACTCCCCTAGTGACCTTGCCTCTGATGTCATGTGAAGCCATGGGATGGCGTCTCTGTCAGCTTCCCACCACCAAGCCCACAAACTTCTGCATCCAGAGACAGTTCCTTTATTTCTTCCATTCCAATGAATATTATAAAGTCTTATACTTAATGATGCTCCTCTCTCCCCTAGATTTTCCATTAAGTTCCCATCAGCCACAAAATCTCCCCAAGTCTTTATCATCTTAAAGACTTCTGACTTTTGTTAGTGGTAGTCTCTTGAACAGAGTAAACTTTCTGTAGATAGCAATAATAAAACTGTTATCTTTTAAAAAATTAAAAAAAATTATTTGAGAGAGAGAGAGAATGCACAAACCAGGGGAGGGGTAGAGGGAGAGGACAAGCAGACTCCCTGCTGAGGGGAGCCCAATGCAGGGCTCGATCCCAAGATTCTGAGATCATGATGTGAGCCAAAGTGAGATGCTTAACTGACTGAGCCACTCAGGCACCCAAAACTGTTACTTTTTAAATTTTTATTTTATTTAAATTCAATTAGTTAACATATATTATTAGTTTTAAAGGTAGAGTTCAGTGATTCCTCAGATGCATATAACACCCAGTGCTCATTACATTAAGTGCCCTCCTTAACGTCCATCACCCAATTACCCGCCCCCCACCTCCCCTCCAGCAACCCTCAGTTTGTTTCTTATAGTTAAGGGTCTTTTATTGTTTGCCTCCCTCTCTGTTTTTATTTTATTTGTTCCTCCCTTCCCCTATGTTCATCTGTTTAATTTCTTAAATTCCACATGAGTGAAGTCATATAATTGTCTTTCTCTGATTGAGTTATTTTGCTCAGCATAATACCCTCAAGTTCTATCTATGTCATTGCAAATGGCAAGATTTCATTTTTTTTAACGGCTGAGTAATATTCCATTGTATAGATATAGCACATCTTCCTTATCCATTCATTTGTAGATGGACATCTGGCCTCTTTCCATTGTTTGGCTATTGTGGACATCACTGCTATAAACACTGGGGTGCAGGTGCCCCTTTGGATCACTGTGTTTGTATCCTTTGGGTAAATACCTAGTAGTGCAGGAGGCTGGGGAAAGATGGCAGAGTAGGGGACCCTATTTCAACTGGTCCCGGAATTGAGCTGGATATCTACCAGACCACTCTGAGCACCCATGAAACCAGCCTGAGTTGTAAGAAGATCTGGATCTCTACAAACAGAATATCGTAGGCGGTTGGTTTTGAGATACGAACAGGGAGCTGTGATTCCACGGGCAGATATCGGAGGATAAACAGCAGCGGGATGGTGCCTGGCCGTGGGGATCCTACACCGCCGGTGAGCGACAGCCTCGCGCGCTGTGGACAGGCACAGACTCGCAGACTGGTAGCAGCGGGGAAAGGACTCTAGGGCAGCGTCTGGGGCAGAAACCTGGAGCAGCGGGGTCACACCTGCAAACTGCAGCACCCCGGACAGAAACCCAGAGTGGTGGGGTCCCGTGTGTGCGAACTGGGAGCAGCTGGCAGTTTTAGAAGCACAAAGGGCAGAGAAGTGCCCTGACCTGGAGGCAGGACTGGGGGCGCTGCAGAGGGGCGCACAACCCAGGATGCTGCAGTTTATAGCAGCATGGACAGAAATGGAGACAGTGTGGCCTGGAGAGCTCACTGAAGAACAGACTGCGATCTCTCTGCTCTGAGGCAGAGGGTTGGAAACGGTCTCTTCTGCTCTGACTTGTGGAAGAGACGCAGAAAGCCGCCAGGGAAAGCTGCCAGAGAACAAAAGCCCCAAAAACTGATTCCCGCTGAGCCCATCCCCCGCCACAGGAGTGCAGGGCAACTCTGCCCAAACAGGGGTGCCTGAGTAACAGCGTGGCAGGCCCCTCCCACAGAAGACAGGCTGGGAAAACAAGAGGCCAGCAACCCTAAGGTCCCAAGAAAACAGGTGCATCTTGCTTGGGTTCTGGTCAATAATTTGGACTCTATACATTCCCTCAAACACCCATCAACAGAATGACTAGGAGGAGGAGCCCCCAAAACAGAAAAGACTCAGAGATTATGATTTATGCTGCAGATTTACAAATAGATGCAGATATAACCAAGATGTTGGAGATGGAATTCAGACTAGCAATTGTGAAGACAATGGCTAGAATGGAGAAATCAATTAATGGCAACATAGAGTCTCTAAGGGCAGAAATAAAAGGTGAACTGGCAGAACTTAAAAATGCTATCAATGAGATCCAATCCAATCTAGATAATCTAACAGCTAGGGTAACTGAGGCAGAAGAGCGAATAAGCGACCTGGAAGACAATATAATAGATAAAAAGGGAAAAGAGGAGGCCAGGGAAAAACAACTCAGAATCCATGAAAACAGAATCAGAGAAATAAGTGACACCATGAAGCGTTCCAATGTCAGAATAATTAGAATCCCGGAGGGAGTGGAGAAAGAGAGAGGACTAGAAGATGTATTTGAGCAAATCATAGCTGAGAACTTCCCTAATCTGGGGAATGAAACAAACATTCGGGTCCTAGAGGCAGAGAGGACCCCTCCCAAGATCAAGGAAAACAGGCCAACACCCTGGCATGTGATAGTAAAACTTGCAAATCTTAGAACCAAGGAAACCCTCTTAAGGGCAGTTAGGGGGAAGAGATTCCTTAGGTACAGAGGGAGGAACATCAGAATAACGTCAGACCTATCCACAGAGACCTGGCAAGCCAGAAAGGCCTGGCAAGACATATTCAGGGTACTAAATGAGAAGAACGTGCAGCCAAGGATACTTTATCCGGCAAGGCTTTCATTTAGAATGGATGGAGAGATGCAGAGCTTCCACGACTGGCAGAAACTGAAAGAATATGTGACCACTAAGCCGGCCCTGCAAGAAATATTAAGGGGGTTCTATAAAAGGAGAAAGACCCCAAGAGTGATATACAACAGAAATTTACAGGGACAATCTATAAAAACAACATCTTCACAGGCAACATGATGACAATTCATATCTTTCAATAATCACTCTCAATGTGAATGGCCTAAACGCTCTCATAAAATGGCACAGGGTTGCAGATTGGACAAAAAAAGACAGGACCCATCCATACGCTGTCTACAAGAGACTCATTTTGAACCTAAAGATACATCCAGACTGAAAGTGAAGGGTTGGAGATCCATCTTCCATGCCAGCGGACCTCAAAAGAAAGCTGGGGTAGCAATTCTTATATCAGACAAATTAGATTTTAAACTAAAGTCTGTAATAAGAGACACAGAAGGACACTATATCATTCTTAAAGGGTCTATCCAACAAGAAGATCTAACAATTGTAAATATCTATGCCCCCAACATGGGAGCAGCCATCTATATAAGCCAACTGTTTTCCAAAATAAAGAGTCATATTGATAACAATACGTTAATTGTAGGAGACCTCAATACTCCACTCTCAGCAATGGACAGATCATCTAAGCAGAAAATCAACAAGGAAACAAGAGCTTTGAATGATACATTGGACCAGATGGACCTCATAGATATTTACAGAACATTCCACCCTAAAACAACAGAATACTCATTCTTCTCAAGCACACATGGAACTTTCTCCAGAATAGACCATATACTGGGTCACAAATCAGGTCTCAACCGATACCAAAAGATTGAGATTATTCCCTGCATAGTCTCAGACCATAATGCTCTAAAACTGGAACTCAATCACAAGAAAAAATTTGGCAGAAATTCAAACACTTGGAAG